AAAAAAAAAAAAAAGAAAAAGCTGGGCTTTCTAGAATGCCAGACCCAAGAGTCACAACATTATGTGTAAACAAAAGAATGTTGTCATAATATAAACAGGATTCTCTTCTGTGTATAGAGATGGATATTTTGCTGGGAAATGTGCATGCCTACAATATGTGGGCATATTAACAATGTCATCATCATTAATGGTAGTAATAATGTATTTTATAAAAACATAAATATAATTTGTAAATAAGTATATGTCAGCTGTTGATACTAAGAAGTTATTAATGGATATGAAAATTTTTGGAAAAAAGTTATCTCTGGCCATCATCTAATAATTTGGGATGTTATTTTATTTCCTTTTTTTTTTTTTAATATACCAGTACTAGAGCTTGAACTTGGAATCTTGCTCTTGGCTTATTTGCTTAAGGGTGTCACTCTACCACTCGAGCCATACCTCCAATTCTTTCTTTTGGTTATTTGTAGATATAGGTCTGTTGTATTTGTCTGTCTGGGTTGTAGCTTCAATCCACAATCCTCAGATCTCAGCTTCCTGAGTAGCTAGAATTTTAGGTGTGAGCCCCCACTGCCGGGCAGAAATTTTAGAAAGTCACTTAATTAACCCTCATTTAGAATCTTTACCACACAATGGAGTCAATCCTCAAATCTATGTTTATTTTTACTTTTGTTCTCTTGTTCACATTCTTCCCTAGGCCAATAGTTAGCTCTTCCTCATAGTTGTATCTTAAATATCTGGTTATAAAATTTTGATTGAAAAAGCAGACAGTGAGCCAGAGATGGGAACATTTTCTAGTTCACTCCTTTTCAAAGCAGTTACTGATAGGACATCTGAAATCCCACCTGTGAGGAAGCCTTTAGCCAGAAAAACAAAGCAGATTAATTCTGGGTCCAAATTCATAATCCATGTTCAAGAAGGAAAACAAAGACATATTGAGATTGGACTTTCCTTAAAACTTCTTTTTGTGTGGTTCAAAGTGATTGCCTGTACATTCTGTCATCTCCCATGTTGAGAGTTCTATTAGCAATTATTGGCTATAGTTGAGGCTGTAATGCTCTTTGTTATTCAGATGTTCCACTGTAGTAAATGCAAGCATTAAATGTACTATTGCTTACTATGCTTGTAGAAACTGTATGAAGCCAGGGTGAGCGCCACCTGGAGTCTTACCTGGACATAGTTCAGGTTTTACGATTTGTCTTAGATCCTGGAAGAGTTTTCTGTCTGGAGTGTCTCACTCTTCAAAGGAATAAGATGAAGGAAAACAAGTACAGTTACTGTCTTCTCTGCAAACTCATTTGCTAATGTTAAAATGTTAGACTCAAAGACCGTAAGTGAAAATTCTAATGAAGGGGGAAAAACTCTATCAAACATTTAAAAGTTAAAAGCATTTCCCCTACTATGAGACCATCTGTCTATATAGTTTAGTTATTCTGAAGTAAAAACAGTACAATGTCCATATTCTCTGAAAGAGAGATCATTCCTGTTCTTATGATTTTTCTTCCTCCATCAATACACTTTCAGTACATTCTTTTTTTTTTTTTTTTTTGTCGGTCATGGGCCTGAACTCTGGGCCTTGGTGCTGTCCCTCAGCTCTTCAGCTCAAGGCGAGCGCTCTACCACTTGAGCTACAGCACCACTTCCGGTTTTCTGGTGGTTTATTGGAGATAGGAGTCTCACGGTCTTTCCTGCCTGGGCTGGCTTTGAACCGAGATTCTCAGATCTCAGCCTCCTGAGTAGCTAGGATTACAGGCGTGAGCCACCAGCGCCCGGCTTTCAGTACATTCTTAACAAGTGAATTTCTTTAAACATGCCAAAGTTTAGTTAGGGATGTCAAGTCTGTAATCCTACCTACTTAGGAGGGAGAGATTGGGACCCCCTAAGAAACATCTAGGTCAAAATGAAGGTGTGATAGTCCATCTCATTCCGTGGCCAAGCACAGTGCCCATGTATTATTATTAGGAAGCACATCTGCCATCTGAGCAAATCAGGGAGACATAAATAGGAGGATCACAGTCTGGGCATGCCCAAGCGCGCGCGTGTGTGTGTGTGTGTGTGTGTGTGTGTGTGTGTGTGTGTTGGTCCTGGAGCTTCAGCTCAGGGCCTTGCACTCTCAGCATTTTGGCTCACAGCTTGTCCTCTACACTTGAGCTATGCCACCAGTCCAGCTTTTTGCTGGTTAGTTGTAGGCCATCTCTCAGAAATTTCTGCACCAACTGGCTAGAATAACAGGCATGAACCACTGGTGTCCAGTTAATTTTCTTACTATGATCTGATTAATCAGAAGCAACCTGTGAAATGTCAGGAATAGTATGGAAACAAAACAGTACATATATACTTTTATTTGTGAATCTGAGAACATTCTTAATCTATAATAGTGTGTGGCATGTCCAGGAATAGCACTGGGAGACACGGCTCTGAAACAGAAGTGGGATCCCGGACTCCTACATGTTTTGATGGCCGTTTTCCTTGGCTGAGGAATCCATCCAGTCCCACCTGCTGTTGAGTAGAAACATTTGGGGCGAGAGAAAAAATTAGCATGAGGAGAGTGTCCTCTAGTAAGGAAACATGGTTACCTATCTTTGGTGCATTGAAAGAATTCACAAAGTAGGATCATTCTGAAAAATGTGTGCCTGAGTCAGTTAAAACACATTCCCTAATTAGATCATGCGACGAGACCTGTGATGTGAAAGATTTAAGATGATGCAGGGAAGAAACACAGAAAAGGTGCCATGCCTGTGTGCCTCTGACCATATAAAATAATGCTTATTGAAATGAATTCCAGGAAAGGGAAACAAGGTTTTTTTCTTTGTTGTTTTTTATGACTGGCCTTTTTGTCTTGTTTGTTCATTTATCTGTCTTTGGGAGGGTAAAGTAGAGCACAGAAATGGAGGGACAAACAGTGAACAAATGCAGCAGTGGTGCTCACTAGACACATAGTGTTGAAAATGAACTATACAACGTGTGGGTGGGGATGGGAGGGAAAACTGGGTGAGAGCGAAGGGGTGACACTGTCCAAAACGAAATGGCCTCTTTACCTGACTCAGGTGACTGTAACTCCTCAGTATATCACATTTTAATAACAATTTTTTAAAAAGATGAAGAACAAGTCTTAATAGAGCCCAGAGAGAAATTTTCTTCTCAGTGTAGTTTCTGATAAATATTTTATTCTTTGTTTTATATACATATCTTTTTAATTTATTTTTTTTTTTCTGGTCCTGGAGCTTGAACTTGGCCCTGAACTTTTCTTTTGCCCTAGAGCCAAAGCTCCACTTCTGGCTCCTTTGCTGCTTCATTGGAGATGAAAGAATCACAGACTTTCCTGCTCAAGCTGGCTTTGAACCTCAGTCTTCAGGTCTCCTCCTCCTGGGTAGTTTAGGATTATTAGCCATGAGCCACCAGCTCCTCATTTTCTTCATCATTTTAAAAGACAGATATCTGCAAAGAAGTCAGGGCAGATATTTTTATATTAATTGCTATTATCTCTTCTGCATAGTTTTACATGTTTATTTCCTTGTTTATTGGTGACCCATCCTGTTAGAAGAAAGGCAGGGATCAATCAAACTTGAATAGTGTATCTATTTTGATAATGGATCTGGAAGATCTAGAATGTTTTAAACTGTCAGGTGGTCTTCAGCATTTTGTAGCATCCCATTATCGAACTAAAGTGGCAATGGAGAAATGCATACCTTTAATCTACACAACTTCAAACACAAATGGTTCTCTCTTACAGATAGAAACTCGGGGGGGTCTTCCTTGTCACGGTCAAGCCTGAAACACCTGCTTTTGTTTTTCAGCTGATCCTGCCGGAATCCATGAAGGTGTTCCCATTATACATGAACTGCTTGTTGAAGAACTGCGTGCTGCTCAGCCGCCCAGAGATCCCCACGGATGAGCGGGCATACCAGCGACAGCTGGTCATGGCCATGGGCGTGGCTGACTCCCAGCTCTTCTTCTACCCACAGCTGCTGCCCATCGTAAGCTGTCCGGGACGCTTGTACCCAGGCGGATGGGGGATCACATTTTTGGTTTTTTGCACATATTGTATATGTGCAAACCTTTTGGATCTAAGAAGAAATTCAGAATTACAAACAGCTTTCAGAAAATGTGCGTGGCACATGGAGCAAGGCGGGATGGATGAGTTAGATTCCCTGAACTGTCAAGCTGGGTGGTTTGCCTGGCTCATTCTCACTGAGTCACCTTCAGCTGAATAGGTACACTACGAATTCTGCAGATAAATTGGAACCAGCTAAGCGGCAACCGCTAAAGAACTCACACTTATAATCCTGACTACTCAGGAAGCTGAGCTCTGAGAAACATGGTTCAAAGTGAGCTGACGCAGTAAAGTCCGTGAGATTCTTATCTCCAGTTAACCACCAGAAAATCAAAAGTGGAGCTGTGGCTCAAAGTGGTTGAGCACTATCCTTGAGCAAAAAAACTCAGGGACAGTGCCCAGACCTTGAGTTCAAGCCCCATGACCAACGAAAGGAAAGAATGGAAGGAGGGGGGGAGGAGAGAAAGAGAGAGAGAGGAAAAGAAAGAGAAAGAAAGAACTTTACAGCATTAAAGAAACCATTTTCTTGCCTTGGTCTTTACTCAAAAGTTACTGCCTAGACTGTGCCAATTAAAATTCTAACATTCCTCCTTCACCACCAATACTCCCACCCCACCCCCACTTTTCTGTAGTTCTGCCTAGGTTAGTTCTGTTTTGTTTCAGCAATACCGAGATTAGAACTCAGAAACGCAGTTTCACTTAGCTTACTCACTTGGCTGTCACTACCATTTGTGCAATGCCTCCAGCCCTGCTTTTTGCTGATTATTTTGGAATTGGAGTTTTACAAACTTTCTGCCCAAGCTGACTGTGAACTATAATCCTCCATATTTTGGTTTCCTGTATAGCTAAAACTGCAGGTGTGAGTCGCTCGTACCTTACTCTGAAAAGTTATTAAATACCATCTAGAGTTGTATATATTTTACACTTTTTTTTGTACGTGTGTGCTAGTCCTTGAGCTTTTGTTGTTGTTGTTCAAGGCTAGCACACTCTTACCACTTGAGCCACAGCTACACTTCCACCTTTGAGTAGTGTATTGATGATAAGTCTCACACACTTTCCTGCCTAGGCTAGCTTTGAACCAAGATTCTCAGATCTCAGCCTTCTGAGTAGCTAGTATTACAACTGGCTTGTTTTATACTTTTCATATTTTCTTCCCTCCAAATAATGACTAGAGCAGTGTCTGACACTGAGTAGATACTGGTTAAATGTGCACAGGAAGGAAAGAGGGAAAAGGAAGGAAAGGGAGAGAGGGGAAGAATGAAGAAAAAGAGGAAGAGATTTGTAACTCCCTTGTTTGTCCACACAGCACACATTAGACGTGAAGAACACAGAGTTACCAGCCGCTGTCCGCTGCTCGGAGTCCCGTCTTTCGGAGGAAGGGATCTTCCTGTTGGCTAATGGTCTAAACATGTTCTTGTGGCTGGGAGTGAGTAGCCCTCCAGAACTGATCCAGGCAATATTTAATGTGCCGTCTTTTGCACATGTCAACACAGATATGGTAAGTATTTGGGCATTGTTTTGTGGGGACTATTCAAAAGATATATTCTTAAATAATTTCCTGTGCACTTTAATGTTACAAAGAAGAAACATAATAGAGCAAATAATTCTGTATGAGCAAAACCAGAGTTTGATGAATAACATCTGATATACAGGAAGTGGCACTGTGGCTCAAATACAAACCCTAGTGACCACACACAGACGCACACATATACACCATAAGGTCCAAGACTACACATAAAGGAGAAAGTAGGAATGTGAATGATGAACCTCCTATGAAACAATTGGCTGTATTCTTTTTCTAAGACTTGGGGCTTTTACAGGAGCGCATCCTAACTCAGCTCTTCTGTGGCTAACTGAAAACATGTTAGATCTCGGCATCTTCTTGCTGAGAGTTGAGGGTCGCATCTGACCCTGCCTTTGCAGAAGCATCTCCGGCAGCCATGTGCAGCCAGATTGTTTTGTAAACTACTCACCAGATTTCGGGGAAATCTGAGAGACCACATCCCCTTGAGAAATAAGCAGTTGGGTCGTTTGTTTTCATCTTGGAACTGTGGGATGAGGATAGCTTTTCCCAAACAAGGCAATGAGAAGATAGAGTACATTCTTTACTTGCACACACAGCCCAGAAGCATGGGCCTGGAGAAGGATTTCAACCTCAGTGGGCCTCCACAGCCAGCCTGGACATAAGCATCACGCCTGTTACGTCATTGCAGTGCTGTGCGCATCTGTCACATCCCACTGAAGGTTTTTGTTGTGTTTTTTTAAAAAGCAACTCTTTTCAAAAGACAAAGAAAATTGTTTCATTGGTGGGAATGTGTGCCCCAAAAAGTGAGCAATTTCAAGTTCAGTTTTCCGTATTTTGTTTTCAGGTAAGTGAATTAAGCCAATCACCTCTCTTTGAAGGATGTGTTTGACATTCTGATAACCTCATGTCACGACTTCCAGGTAAATCCTACAAAATGAACTGAAACTGTGATTTTCTTAAATGTAGACCCTGCTGCCTGAGGTAGGAAGTCCGCACTCGCAACAGCTCAGAATGACAATGAATCTTCTCCAGCAGAAGAGGCCATATTCCATGAAGGTGAAAAGGGGATTTGGATGTGTTTTGTTTTTTTTATAACTTTTTAAAATGTATGTCTGTATTTCAATATTTATTTGTCAGTAAGTGGGACTTAAACTCGCTCTTGCTTGGCTTTTTTTTTTTGTTTTGGGGCATTTTTTGCTGGAGGCTGGAACTTTTCCCCTTGAGCCACACCTCCACTTCTGGCTTTTTGCTGGTTAACTGGAGATTAGAGTCATGGGGATTTTTCTGCCCAGGCTGGCTTTGTTCCACAATTCTCAAATCGGCAGCCTCCTGAGTAGCTAGGATTACAGGCATGAGCCATCAGCACCCGCCAAATGTTCTGCATGTTTATGGTATAACACGCTAACTTCTGATTAGGAGTTATCACCAAGGGTTATCTTGAAGCATCAATGTAAAAATCATGAAGATCTGTTGCATGGTATAGCAGCAATTGATGTCATTGACAATCTTGGAAATAACTTTTCCTTTGGTCCTAAAAGTACTGAAAAGCCTAGGGACAGGGCCTAGAACTGGAGTTCAAGCCCCAGTTCTGGTACAAAATAGAGACAAAGAGAAGATTGAATAAAAAAGAAAAGCTGAAAAGTTAAAATTGAGCCAGGCATGATGGCCATACCTATAGTTCCAGCTCCTCAGGAGACTGAGGCAAGAGGAACTGCTTTTGTCCATGAGTTCAGGGCCAGCCTAGCAACATTACTGAGACTGTTTTAGGGGTTTTTTTTCTTTAAAAAAAAAAAAAAAGAGGGGCTGGGAAGGTGGCTTAGTGGTAGAGCGCTTGTCTTACATGCCTGAGGCGCTGGGTTTGATTCCTCAGCACCACATAAGCAAAAAGAAAAAAAGCTGGAAGTGGCACTGTGGCTCAAGTGGTAGAGTGCTAGCCTTGAGCTGAAGAGCTGAGGGACAGCGCCCAGGCCCAGAGTTCAGGCCCCACG